ATTTAAATTTTTATATTATTTAGATAATTTTTTATTAAGTTATAAATAAATAAAGAATTCCAAAAAGTTTTGTTACATACTGTATATAATTTTATATATAAAAACAAAATTAAAATTTTAAAAAATTATTTTAAAAGTTATAAAATTTCTTAAATAATTATTTATTAAATAAAAAAAAAAAATTTTTTTTTAAAAATTTAAAGTAAATATTGCTTAATGACTATATAATAGAAAAAACAAGAAATTACTAATAAATAATATTTTATTTTTAAAATGAAAAGGTTAAAAAAGTTAAAAGATATAAAACTTATGAATAGTTATATTATATATTTTGTAAAACAAAATCATTATTTGATAATATATGTATTATACATAAGACGAAGATTAATTTGGAAATCTGCATGTTACAATTCTGGAAATGAGGGATTATATAAATCTATTCTTTCAAAAACGAGCACAGTATATTACTTAATATTTTCTTTACGGATTTTCTCTTTAGGACTAGAAAATCATATTAATGGTGACTTTTTTAACATTTAATGATCAAACGCGTGCGCTCAGAAGAATGTCTTAAATAGTTTTTTCTAATAGTCTGACAAAAATGAATCCGAATCTGGAACTTACAATAATGGCAATGTCGCTTTAAACAATGGAGTCAGTGCTTCTAGCACCGCACCCATATCCCAGCCTTCCTCTGATCACGTATCTTCACAGTGGGAAACTCGCATTTCTCGTTCTCGTAAAATGGTTTACTATTATAATCGTGCGACTAAAGAAAGTACATGGGATCTTCCTGAGGGTGTTGATCCTAGTACTATTAAAGGATATGGAGAGCACACAGTGGAACAAGCACAGGCGGTTGATCCGACGGAAGGCGGTGCTGGGCAAATCAGAGCTAGTCATCTATTAGTCAAGCATGCGGGTAGCAGGCGTCCCTCTTCTTGGAAGGATGTTGGTTTATTTCTTTAAAGATACGCGTTATCTTATTTTTCTTAATATAAAATTATTAATTTTACATCATTCTTCAGCCAACAATAACACGCACTAAAGAGGAAGCTCTTGAACTGATCAAATCCTATCGTTCACTAATCACTTCTGGTGGAAATGATTTCGGAGAACTTGCTAGTACAGAATCTGACTGTTCAAGTGCTAAGCGCAACGGTGATCTAGGATTCTTTGGTCGAGGACAAATGCAGCCATCCTTTGAAGAGGCAGCATTTAAACTTGAAGTTGGAGAGCTAAGTGAGCCGGTTTGGAGTGATAGCGGGGTTCATTTGATTTTGCGAACAAAATAAATTGGAGTATATAAAAGGATGAGTAAATTATCTGATTACAAAGGTATTATTAGCTTGCATTTTTCATTTTATTTGTTTTCTGTGGTACACTAATTTTTTTTCTTTACATCTGGGCTCATGGCCTATCAGAAAAAGCCAACAATTAGTAGATACAGCGTTATGTTTCGTTTTATTAATCACGAGGTATTTGTTAGTAATGTTTTTTATCTCGCTGCGTTTTACCGAAACTTTAGTTCTCTAAGTTTAGGTTTAAATAATTTTTCATGTTATTAGGGATATTAAATAGATTTGGGTCTGATGTTTTTTGTAAGGTCATTCATTCATTTACAAATGATAGCTTAATTTTTATGCTTGTAATAAAAAACTTGAGAATTTACTTCCTTTCTGATGATTTATTTATTTGCACAATTGGTTTATGTTTTCCTATATAGAAAAATCTGTACTTGTCAAATAAATGTTTTATTGTAAAAACTTTTAAATTTTCAACATACTGTATATGTTTAATATAATATTAAAGTTACAGTATTTTTTTATTTAACTTATTGTATTTATTTTAGTTAATTTATAATTAATTTAAATAAAAAAATATTTCTTTTATTGCAAAATTTTTTAAGCTTAAATATAGATTAATGTTTATTTATTTTATATTAATCTGATTTATTCTTTAATAATTTTATAGTTCTTTTTTAAAATTTTCATTGTTTTTATCATTTTCATAACCTTTATAATCTTTTTTATCATTGCAAACCTTATTCATATCAAAAGTAAAAACAGTTTATTTAGTAATATTTGATATCAAATTTTCAATTCTGACTATTTTTTAATTATATTTAAAAAAATATTTACAAAAAGTTTTATATATTTATACTATTAAAGTAATATTACTTTTTTTAAATCAATTTAAATATTTTTAAGAATTATTTTTTACACTTTTCTTATTTATATTTTTTATATAAAAACTTGATTTTTTGCTAATTTAAAAAAACCAGAAAATATATATTTTTTTATTTATAATAAAAAAAAATTTTTTAAAAGAATCAATAGTATAATATTGAAAACTTTTTTTATAAAGTAAAAATATAATATAACTATTTTATATAATAAAAAAATAAATAAAAATAAGTTTAAAAACTCAAAAAAAAACTATTTCCACTGATCCTTTGCCTATATATAAAAAGATGTTCACAAGAAATTTTTTATTTTTATTTTATTTATTTTATTTTTTTTGTCCTCTGTCAAGCTAGTTATGTATACTTTATTAAATGTTTGTAAGCTATACATATAATATGAGATGCTAAAGTTAATTCTTTAACTAACTCACTCGTCTAGGTTATTTTACCCTTCTAAGTGTAACTTCGGGAGTAATTTATCACTCCGTTAGGAGTTTGGATGAATACCCTTCCAACTTCTAACATCATTGCCTGCAGATTATTACTGCAGATCACTTTTCCAAGTTCTGACAGAAATCAAAACCCAACTATTTCATCCCATACTTTACCCTATCTCGCAGGACCTGTTTGAGCATTGTATTTTTTACTTCTTCTTCCTTTAGTGATACTTGATATGATTGATTTCCTGGTATCTTAGCCCTGTTTCTTTGCCTTTATAGGTGTGTCAACCTTTTGATTTTATTACCTCTATTAATTTCTAATCTTTTTTTCCACTCTATTACCTTTTCACATCTGAAGTTCTAAATTTTCTTTCTGAAATGGTTGCGTGTTTTCTTCTACATCTTCATTATTTACTTTCTTGCTTCTTTACCGATTCTTTTTCCATAGCACATTGAATCTGCTATCTTATCCATTAGATCTTTTTCTATTAGTCCCATACAAAAGCTAAGAATATCCTGACCAGTATTTGAGATCCTTTCCACCAGTTGAACTATCTTTTTATCCATTTCTTCTCTTTTTATTTTATCATCAACTACCAGACTTATTTCTTTTTCTTTTGACACATTTTTCCTATCTACCAGAAGTTTGTTGAAACCTTGCATTATATTCTCTGTACCCTTTTGTCAGATTTCATGCCACTAAGTTTTATATACTAGACATTTTAGCAAGTGTTCTATTGTCTCCTCTTGTTATCCACATGCAAGACATTTTACTTACTTATATAAGTCTGGTCTTCTTGTGGCTAGCTTTGTTAATGTGGATAGCTCATCATTGATCATCTTGACAAGAAAGCTTTTTCTTCGTGATTCTTTGAAGGAGGTATTCTATGAATACCCATTATTCATTTGTTCTCAAACAAGGTCTCATGTGTACCTATGCTGGTCTTGGATTTGATGATCCCACTTTTTGTCTATTCTATTTTGGGCTGTCCATTGGTACATCATTATTTTGGCATTGATTTTTTTAATAAACTGTTTTATTGGAGCATCCAGTACTATATCTTGCCATTTGATTTTAGTAATAATCTTAGGTGAGTCCAGATCTTTCTATTCTATTGTTGAGAACTTTAACACTTCTTTGGCTAAAATATCTGCATCCTCATTATATTAAATGTTGAAGTGTACTTTAACCTTGATAAGATTTAGATCTAATCCTTTTTTCTTTACCAGGCAAAACATTCGTGTCCACAAGGACCAATTTTATTCCTTTAGCCATCTTTTGTGAATTTTTTGGGGATCCTTCTTTTCTATAGTTTTTTATTTGGAGATGTAGGCTTGACTGTCAGTGTGGATCTTGACCTTGCTGTTAACTAGAACTACTAGTAGTATAGTAACTATTGCTACTAGTTCTGCTCTTGTGAACGAAGGCCAATCAGCTACCCCTGTTTGGAACTTGCTTTCTTTTCCTGCTTTTCCAATTTGTATCTATGCTGCATCTATCTTCATATTTTCACTTCCATGATCAACAAGGGATCCATCAAAGTAAAAGGTTATTGTGTTATTGCTATTATCCCTCTTGTTACACCTGAGTATCTCAATCAGATGGGTTTAATATGCACCTTCTTTAATGTTCTCTTTAATAAGCTTCTTTTCCCAGTTTTCTATCTCTACTTCTTTCAGTTGCCTTCTATCGCTTTATGTAGTTATCAGGTCTGTATAAATTGTTCTACTTATTGATCCCTCTGGTGCTATCTTGGAACAAGGAATTTCTAAAAGTTGAGCTCTCCTCATGGATTTCCTAATATTAAGGTAAGGAACCATATATGTTTGCTTTATATTTGATTCTATTATGCATCAGTTTTCGGTCTTTATCCCTTTTGGGTAGCCTTGACATCATATCAGATTTGATCTTAAGCCTTCCTTGGAGCTGTCACATTTGAAATGATCTATTTTAATGCATCTTTTATTGTCACCTAGAATCAACTTTCCCCAAACCAGTTGTTGTTGTTGATTATTGCTCTTGGTAACTATCTAAAGTTTTTGCCTTTTATCGAGGTTAAGATTGAGTATGAGATATTCTGGACTCCACTTTAATCAATCTTCTTTCTAAACTCTTATGAGTTGTTCTAACTTGTTTCCTCACATCTCTTTTATTATTGACAAGTACCATTCTGGAATAGGTTCTTTACTTGTCTTTTATAGGAGTTGAAGCATTCACCAATCTAATACTTCTCTAGTTTCATAGTTGATAAGCTGATCCATATACATTAACTTATTGTGTTTAAGTGATGGAATAGCTTTACTATATTCTTTTGTTATCAGGTGATCTTTAATTGGACTATTTATGATACCCCAATTAAAGATATCATTCCATTTCTAGCTATGAAAAGTTACCTTCATATCTTTGATCAGTTTCAGTACTTGTAATGCGAAGTTACCTTTTCCTGGAAAATGGTTTAGTAAATTACATATAAACAGGTTGAGAGGTTCTCAGTACTTAATCTGTGATTGCTTTAATCTGATGATTGTTGTGATTCCGGTTGGTCCCAAGTCATTTAACCTATTGCATAATCCTATTATCTGACTTTCTTTTTGCAGCATCCAAACATTCTTTAAATTGTAAATCCTGGGATAATGTATTATACTATTAGGTATGGATTGACATAGTGTGGTCTTATTTTTAAACAGTTTTCTATATGCCATTGTCAGAGTATTACACATTCACCAGAATAATACACTATGCTGCATTTTGAACTCAATTTTAGGTATCAAGGCTCTATTCAGAATGTAAAGTATCTATTTATCAGTTTACTTTTTGTTATTTAGGGACTTGGTAATCATGCTGATTTCTTTAAGAATCCGTTTTTTAAGTTTGATAGCAAATTTTGGATTACTTGTCCAGATCCCTAGAAATCTTGTCTGTTCAGTTCTATCCAATTCTCTAACTACTTCTCTGTTAACCCCTGTTTGGACCTCTTCTGGATATTGGTTGGGATTGTTAATAATAATTAATACTGATTTGCTACTATTAATCTGTGATTCATTTACCCTATAAAAGATTCTTGCTTCTTCCAGAATCTTTTTCATATCCTCTTTGGATCTTACTATCCATATTGTATTATTCATGAATGCGATAGCTGCATGTCTTGACTCTAGCTTTCTTTCAGTATTTCTCTTTAACTCTGGGTTCTAAGCCATAGACATTTTGTAACCTTTTGTTTCATCATTCTGAATCTTATACAATAACAGATTATAGAATATTCTTCACATTAGTGATGAGATAGTTTCTCCTTAATCAATTCCATCTCCTGCTATGATTGCTAGAGTTAGATCTTTCTCAAATATGATCTTAAATTCTTGATTTTGAAATAGGCTCATTATAATTGAATAAAGCCTTCTGGTATCTTGATTCTATTCATTGCCTTGACTAACATATCCAGGCTAATAATATCATATGCTTTTGCTGTATCTTGGAAAAGTATCCATAACTCCTTTTTATTTTCTCTTGCTTCCTCACAAATATTGTTGAGAATTTGAATCAGTTCAGCTGTACTTTCTCCTGGTAATCTTGCATAATTAGGTCCTTTTAGGATATTGTTAGTCTTGCAAATATTTCCTAATCTGTTTATAAGGATTTTGATGA